TAATTAATAAAAAAAAATATTTAAATTCAAATTAGTATAGATTATATAATTCAAAAAGGTTTTCACATAGGTAATTTTTCCCTAATTTCAATATATCATGCTGATATCTGCTGTCACATGAAATTTGGAACACTGTATATATATGACATAAGTTCCCGATTAAATTATATTTAGACGATTTTTTTTTATTATTAAATATTATTACTATACAATATTTATAAAAATCTTTTTAAAATAACTAAAATTAAATTACTAAATACTTAAAGTACTTATAATATTAATGTCGGTATTTTGGTTGTCGGTCGATTGACCCAGAACCCTAATAACAGATTACCTATGTGACATCGCCGTCRTGCAGAGACGTATTGATATTTTTGACACTGTTCCTTAAAGGCACCCTCTTTTAATAATAACAGTTAACTCTGATATGGGGGTGATTTTTAAAAACAAAAACATTTTCATTACAAATATATATATTACGGTAAATTAATTAATAAACATTTAGAAAAAAATATTATAGTTTTCTTCGTGAATTTTGTTTTGCAAATGTATTTATAATGTCATTAAAGCTCATATCCATGGTAAGTGTAGATTCAATTGACAAGATTGCTAACCTATTAGGTCATTCTCGACCTCAAATAAGATTTAACCCTCTTTAATGCTGAAAATGATATCTCGGCTGAACAATTGGATGTTGGACAGCATAAATACATCCTTAATGCTATATCAACGTAAAGAAACAGTTCTTGAAGTTTTTCAGTTTTGATCATTTTACAAATATCCATTACAGTTTTAGGTCTTATTTTTTCAGTTAAGCTCATTAATAGCTTCTAAATTGTATACACTCGTTAGCAAATGAAGATGAATGATCATTTGTATATATATTTTTAAGTATTTCTGCTTTTTTATAAACTTCTGATGGTAATAATTTTATTATTTGAAATAAAAAATTAAATTTTTTATTGGCTTCATCATAGTAGAATTTTCTTCTTTCTAGTTCAGAATGCAGATTGTCAATAATAACATAATAAGTATTAATCCTTAATGAGTCTCGAATTTCAAAATTTATTTCTCYTTCTCTTTTTTCATCTGCAGTTAACTTTCTTTTTCTTTTGCGTATTTCTTGATATGTTTTGTGTCCCGATTTATTAATTGCTCTCTCTTCATAAATAATAAACATACTCCTTAAATCTAATACATATCGAATTAACGATTCGTATAAACATACCACTGTTTCTAAATCAATCTGCAAAAGACTGTAATTGTTTACTAATTTTGTTGTATYTTACTAGTATATCACCCCATAATGTGGCTATAATAGCTGTTTCAAGACAGTCTAATTTTAAATATAGTCCATTAGCTTCTGATCTTGTGATTTATTTTTCTGATTTATCATTTTTGATAAAAGACAGTGCATTAATTATTTAATTCCAATTTTTGTTTAAACTAATACTTGCATCAGATCTTGCTGACCACCTGGTATCTGATAATTTTTTAAGTGATACATTTTCTGTTTTAGTTAAATTGTTCTGAAGTATTTCCCATCTATGTGTAGAAGAACTGAAAAACTTATAGATATTTTGAAGCAGATTAAAAAACTCAGAAGCATTTCTACAACAGTCTACAGCGCATTCACTAACATTATTTAAACTGTGTGCCGAGCATGGTACAAATGTAGCTAAAGGATTAACTTCTTTAATGCGAGCTTAAAGTCCTGTATACATACCAGACATGTTAGATGCATTGACGTAACTTTGACCACGGCAGTTGTTTATATCTAATCCATGCGATTCTAAAACTAAAAATACAGCATCTGCCAATTCTTCAGATTTATGACCAGAATTAGGTAAAAATCTTTCTAACGGACTGTCATTATTTTGAACATACCGAAAAATAAATGATAGTTGATCTACATGGCTAATGTCAGGAGTAGAATCAATAGTGATGGAAAAATATTTAGCTTCCTTTATTTATTTTGCCATTTGTTGTAAAACATTATCTGCCATTATAGTTATGAACTGCTCATATATATTAAAAGATAGGTATGATGTTGAACCTTTTCCTTTATTGYCAAACTTTTCAATATGCTGTGTTAAAAAAGGATCGAAATGAGCAATAACCTCTAAGCTCATCATGAAGTGCCCATTATGAACAGATCCAAAATGGTCATCATCGCCTCTAAAGGACAGTCCACGAGAAGAAAGTGATTTAACAACAGCTACAACTCTAGTCAATACATTTTTCCAATAACTTATTTCAGTTTCTACTTGATACTTCAGCTTTTGATCAATTCGATTTAATACTTCTCCTCTTTCTTTCATTTTAATTACACAATTTGTGGTTTTTTGAATTTTCATGACGCTTAATTTTTTCTTCTCCTTTTTTCCAATCCGAAAAGCCAACTGTGGCAAACGATGTAGTACCACCAAATAAGTAGCAGGGTGCACAAAATATTGATCCTTTACTTTCTGAGTAAACCAAAAAGGTTCGGTTAATTTTTTCACCATTAACAAGAGTAGATACAAAAAAACTTTTTGACAAATATCTAAAACGAGTATGTCTAACACCACCAATTATTCGATTATAAGTTTTTTTTGATTTATGGAAATTATTGTTCTCCAAATTTTGATTGAATCCATTTATTGATAAATAATCTATCGTTTCTTAATTTTTCATCCAATTAGCAGGGTCATTTCTAAAGATAAAATATATTCATTTAATACAGTATACATATATAACTATATATAAATATATTATAACAATTTTTAAATAAACATTCAGGCATTAGGCCTGAAAGATAGAGATTAAATCATAATATAACTAGAGAATAGTGGTATTGGTTGGTATCATTTTAAATGAACAGAGTGTAGTAATATACAGAGAACTAAATTTATTTATATTTTAATTTCTAACATAATTTGACATAAGAAACTATTTAAAAAAAATAGTCTTCCTATGTGCATATTTATAGTTGTAACTTATTATGAAAAAAAAATCTTACCCAGGAATGATACATTTTTTAAGAAGACTGTTATCTTCGTGCATGGACAAACATGGTGTTGGTGTATTATTTATTTCTTTAGATTCTGTAGACAATTGAGTTTTACTAGTTTCGGTATTGCTGTTCTTTGATAAAAATAGATCGTCTGGATTTGATAGATTATCTTCGATAACAGTACAGCTATGATCATTTTTGCTTGTATTATTTACTTCATTTTCAACTGAAAGCATTTAAGCATAAATAATGATGATTAAAGATATCTACATTTTAGTTTAAATTATGTACATTGAATAATAAATAACATAACAATATGTATATAATATAATATATAGATTATAGGTACATGATATTTGCAAAATTAATAACAGGTATAGTTTTGTAGGAAAATAAACATACTTTGGTTAGGCTGTCTATCTGGCTAAAATATGTTTGTAATTTAGCAGTCTTTGAAATAATTTTGGCTTGAGCTTCACTTTTTGCATGAGAGCGTTTTCGGTTAGTACGCGTAGTCTCAGTACGCAGAATACAAATTACATTTGATATTAAATAATAATAACGTTAATATTAAAACTGAAAATAATAATYAAAATACAAATATTTACCTTATTCATGACTGGATACTGCAATATAGAGCATTAAGCATTAGTATAACATACTTACATACTAAAGAGTAAAAATATTAAAACGCATAGGCCAACAGGCAACAATAACAAAAATTTAAAATATTTTTCACGATTCCCAATATAATATTAGGTATGTAATTGTTCAGTCGTACATTAAAGATACGTTTATATATTACCCTAGATAAGAGTTGGTAATCAAATGAATAATGATAACTTATAAGAATTTTTCCTGTTAGGAAGATGGCCGCCAGTCCATCGCGATTTTGTTTACATCTAGCGTGTCCTTTCCGATTATATCTATTCTGTGCTACTACCAACTTGAGTATTACACATGGCAGGCTATCAGTAATCAATTTTGTGTAGTTGGTACATAGTATGATGAAATCGATCTATGATTTTGACATGATAATAATATAAACATTTTCATGACAATGATATAAAATAACTATTTTAGATTTTCTAATATTCTATCATTCTGACGCCTGGTGGCTGGCGCCCAGGGCCCAAGCCCCCCTGCCCACCCCCTAAATACGTCTCTGCCGTCGTGATAATAAACATTAGAAAATATCGAGTAGGAATTTTTAGATTCCATTTTGAAATATTATCTAGATTGCCACAATGTTCGTGTAATAGGTATACTATGTTATCACTTTATCTTTAAGATTACGGATCAGTTCGTATTGTCGGCAGCTGTCTCGTAGTCGCGTACGAATAAAATATCTAAGTATGGTTTTGTACTGATATTATTAAGCATAATGTATAAATGCAACTTGATATAAATTTGTACAGCGCGTTAAAAATAACTGTGATATAAATATATTTAGTATTATAGTTTGATGTTATTTCATTATTTGGCATCTTTTTTATTAATACCTTTAAATTCATTGGATAGTTATTTATAAAATGTATTTAACCAAATATAATTTACGTATAGTAGTAAAAAGTGTAGTGGTGTTAAATGTGCATTAAATTAGTATTTATAAAATTCCATTTTTTACCACATATTTTCAATGTAAACTTCTAACTTTATATTTTTCCTTTGGTTGATATTATATAGTAATAGTTATTTAACATATTAATAAAATAAAATAAGGAACTCCATCTCAACAAACTACTCAGACCTTTGGATGATTAAATAAAAATATAATAATGGTAAATGTCATGAGAATATTTCTTCAAAATAATTAATGTTCTCCTATTGGTTGTTTAAAAAAAAGAATAGTTATTTGCTATTTTATTCAAATGAATTATGTCATTTTCTATGTTATTAATATAGTCTAACTCAAGTACATGTAATTTTAATATTCATCATTTTAAAACTAAAATACAGTTTATATAATATATATAATTTTCATGCATTAACAATTCTGTTATAGTTGAATCTAACAGTCAGTTTGAAGCAATACGTAGTTATCTGAAGGAATTAGACGTAATCGAKAATGTTTGGATTGGTTTGAAGCGAAACAGTGAGGCTAGTGAATTCACATGGACGTGAGTATTTTAAATATTTGAAAAATATTATACTTGCATTGTAACATTTTAAAAAATCAATTAACGATGATATAATTAAACTTCAAAATTAAAATTATAACTTGAATTATAATAATAATTGTAAATRAATTTAACTCATCTATGTATTGTATAACTATAATATATTATTATTATTTGCTTATTATTCAACTACTAATAATTATTATAAACACAGTAATTACCAACCCCTTGCAAGGAGTGGATACTTTAGAGAAGAAGTTCCACGTTCATCGGACCCAGTTTGCGTTGTCACTGACCCTACGGCCAACTTCAAATGGCACAGTTTACATTGTGGAGGCCCCGAAGTAGCATCATTCGTTTGTGAGCTCCCAGGTATATAATTTAATATTGAATTATCAAAAAMAAAAAAAAATTATACATTCTTTATTTGTTTTAACAAGGTAATATCCCATAGGTATACACAAAATATTTAGAGCTTGAAAACTAACTTTTAATAACTACCTGATAAATAGGTACCTACGGAAATAATGAAATATAAAAAATATTATAACTTCAATATTCAAGCTATAGGTGTTAAAATTGAAATGCCATAGATTCATTAGCTACAAAATAATTTGACGATATTTGTGAGTTTGACAAACTTTAATTACATTTACTTATGTATAATGTATATATATGTGTAAAATATTTATTTTTGATATTTTAAAATTACTAAAAGAACTAATGTGTCTAATGCGGAACCTTGAAGCTTTTTATTAAATTTTTAAGCTTTTTACTGAGGAACAAATATTTTATCAATTTAAAATTAAAACATTAAAATATTTGTGAATAGCTTCAAATTATTCCAAATATTTTAATTATGTTAACGTATTTCAAAAA